TGCTGATGCCGGAGCCCAAGGGCGGTATGTGGGCGGCGGATGTGGCTGCGGATGCGGATGTTGCCAGTGGCGGAACGCGGGAACCCGAGCCGGAAACGGAACTGGAAACGCCTGAACCACGCGCACCGGAAAGGACGATCTGACCGTGGGACTCATTTTGTCTCTGAAGTTTCGCCTCCAAGGATTGCAGGCGACTGCCGATCGTCTCGAACTCAATGGTGGACATATTATTCTGTTTAAGTCCTTGGATGCCTGGATTACTACACTGGATTTTTGTTTGAATTTAATTTGTATTACTATTGGGTTGGTTTATATTTTTTCAATTTGTTTTCTCGGCCAGTACTTCTTCGATTTTTCTCTCTCACACACACAAACACACACAAATGCGCGAGTGTGAATTTTGTTTTGTTGTGCGCGGTTTTTGTTGTTGTTTGGCGGCACACACACACACATACACCAACACCCGCACACACAGAGGGGCGCTGCGTTGAACTTTCACACTTGCACAAAAATAACGGATCGCTGGACTTTTGTTGTTGGCGGCCACAATAACAAAATCGAAAAAAGGAAAACACTGTCACTGTGCGTCGGAGAGAGATAGCCTCACTTACTCACACACACACACTCCCTCTCTCTCTCGTTCTTTTTCAGCAGCAATGGCAACAACAACTTGCGATTTTTTCCTCCTTTTTTGGGAGGATATTTCGTGGGTATTTGTCCTTCTGACGGGTCGTTTTTTTGGGGTTTTGGGTTTCGGTGATCGTTTAGTTTTGCGGCCGCAGGCGGCGGTATCACTGGCACAATTCTAACGCTCGGTTTTGTTCGATTTTGCTGCCCAAATCGCGTGTACAATCCAAAACAGTGTGACCGCAGCGTCACCACAGAAATATACTGAGCAACTCTCGTCAATACACTAAAATATGCCAGGTAATTTGGCGAAAATACCAATAAGATAACACAACCAGAGATGGTCAAAGCAACGGAATATTAAGTAGTCGTTCAACTAAATTATAAAAAATATTTGTGGATATAACTCATTAAAATTTATCATAAGCAAGAAGGAGACGGAACAATAAGATAATTCAACAAAATCTGAATGCATCGAGGGGTCAGTTATATTACGGTTGGGATGACAAATGTAAACATACATTGGTGTGATCTAATCTGATTTATTTATGACACTTGTTTTACGACAGAGTTCAAATTCGAAAGCCCTAGAAAAACGAGATTTATAAAATTAAATATATTCGATCATTCGATAATTGATTTGTTGCTTGGTGAGTGATGGGTAGGGAAAAAGTTAGCTAATCGTGCCTGGAAATTAATATCGCGACACGTCCTCACTAAACTTATGTGAAGTGTTGTGCAGGGCGCCAAAGTATAGCTATAGTGTTGGGCACGAGTGGCGGAGCATGTGTGTGTGTATGTGACCGACAAAGTGCAGTTTGGAAAGGAGAAAAAGCGTTTGAAAAACGCCAAAATCAATCAAGTCCTGCCCAAATGCGGTAGAAATAGCATCCACATCCAATAGGTCTTGCAATCCAATCCTCTGGGTCCACAGAGAGTGCGCCACAAAAACGCCGGAGAAAGTCGAGGATAACGGAGAGGAGGATAATATATAGCAAAGAGGATTGCCAAAATGTCTCGACGACCGCGACCAATACCAATTTCCATCTCCAAGGAGCCGGAACAGGCCATGTAAGTCATTCGCCACCGCCGTTGCCGGTGTAATCTCCGCCAAAAATAACTGGGAAAACCTACATGGTTAACATACCACCTCTTTTAGAGTCCCGCCACGCAACCTGGACTCGCGCGCCACCATCCAAATTGACGATCAGACCTTCGACATCGATGCGGATAGTTTGGAGAAGATCTGCGATCTGGGACGCGGCGCCTATGGCATCGTGGAGAAGATGCGCCACCGGCAAACGGACACTGTGCTGGCCGTCAAACGTATACCCATGACCGTCAATATTCGCGAACAGCACCGCCTTGTCATGGATCTAGACATATCGATGAGGTCCAGCGATTGCCCCTATACGGTGCACTTCTATGGAGCCATGTACCGCGAGGGCGACGTATGGATCTGCATGGAGGTGATGAGCACCAGTCTGGACAAGTTCTATCCGAAGGTCTTCCGCCACGATCTGCGCATGGAGGAGAGCGTGCTGGGCAAGGTCAGCTGGGGAGGAGCCGGTCCGGGAAGATTGGGGGTTAATCTTATCTGGGATTTGGAATCTGGGAATAGCCCCTTTATACTAACACTCTGCTCTGTATACACCTCACAGATTGCCATGAGCGTGGTCAGTGCGCTGCACTACCTGCACGCCCAGCTGAGAGTCATCCATCGGGACGTCAAGCCCTCGAACATACTGATCAATCGGGCCGGTCAGGTCAAGATCTGTGACTTTGGCATCTCAGGTGGGCATGGTTCACACTAACTCCCCCCCTTTCATGCTAATCTTGGGCTGACTTTTAGGCTACCTCGTGGACTCCATTGCCAAGACCATCGATGCCGGCTGCAAGCCGTATATGGCCCCGGAACGCATCGACCCCCAGGGCAATCCGGCGCAGTACGACATCCGGTCGGATGTTTGGTCGCTGGGCATCAGCATGATCGAAATGGCCACCGGCCGGTATCCGTATGACAACTGGCGGACGCCCTTCGAACAACTGCGACAGGTGAGTGCTTCAAATAGAGTTATATTCCCCCTTTAAATTCCTTAAAAGGCTTTGCTCCACTAAATTGGCGCAATATCATGGGAAAAAAGTTATCATATATCTGCTATATCGCTTGTAAACATAAAAATGAATCATTTTGTGGTTGTAAACCCCCTATATTCTAGAAAATCCCTACAACTGGAACATTATGACGATGAGTGAAAAAAAACGCCATCTTTACTTCTAAATTCCTAAATCCAAGTATATAAAGTTAATAAGTTAATTTGCTTATTGCAACATGCGTAAAGTTTTCTGATATTGCCTTAAAATTCACAAACTTGCTATTAACCTTAAATATAATTTCAAAAATCTTCAGATATTTCAAATTGTCTTTTTTATTTTAAACTAATATATAGAAAAACAATATACATTGTTCAATTTCAAATTTAAACAGAAAATATTTCTTAAAAACAATTTAATTTAAATTTTAACTTTGTATAAAATTACTAAAACAAATTTAGTAATCTCTTAAAATATATTTTGGGGCCAAAGGCTTTAGGGAAAGGAACGCCTAAAATTAAAGTATATAAAACTCTTATTCAAACTAAGTCTGGATATTGAACTATTAACAACACATCTCGGTTGTGTGTGTATTTTAAGGATTATATATAATTATAAGCTTTTCCCCAATTAGTAATCAATTTTTTATTATTATCGTTTTCCAGGTGGTTGAGGATGATCCGCCGCGTCTGGCAGCGGGAACCTTCTCGCCGGAGTTCGAGGACTACATCGCCGTCAGCCTGCAGAAGGAATATATGGCACGGCCCAATTACGAGCAGCTGCTCAAGCACAGCTTTATCGTGGAGCATCTGCAGCGCAACACGGACATCTCTGAGTTTGTGGCCAGGATACTGGACCTGCCTGACATTCAGTCGGCGCAGTAGGTTAATGGCCGGGTAGAAGGTCAATGGTTAACCCATGAACCCCTCAGCCGTGCTCGTGCCCGTGTAAATTGCCGCCGTCTTCTTCTAGCATGCATTTCGTACATTTTGTAATGTGTGTCCCCGTCTGCGTGCCAGCAAATCAAAAAAAAAAATATGAATGAAATCCAAGGAAAATCAACAGCAATCAGCTAAAGCTAACCTAAAGATTCAAAAATGAAAACTGCATAATTATTAATTTAAGTGAGAAGCAACTGCAAGATAACCGTTACTAGCAATCTGCAACATGCAATATGCAACATGCAACCTTCGCCTTGCAACGCTCAAAAATGGATAACCGAACCGTGCCTCCCAGCTGGCGATGCTGCTGTCTTAAAAATTAAAAAAGAAACAAAAACATTTAAACATATATATTTTAAAACAATAATAGCTAAGTCTACGAAAGCAAAAATGAAACGAAAGCAAGCAAGCAATGAATGTAAAAACGTACTAAACTTAATTGATAAATTGTAAACTTTTTGAACACCAAAATAGCCGAACAGAAAGTGTAATTGTAATTATAATTGTTTAACAAATATATATTACGTGAAATAGCTAATTAATGCTGAAATTTTGTGTGACTACTTGTTTTTAAAAATATGCGTTAAGACGTAAACAATTGCAACTTTTAATTGTGATTGGGAATTTCTATAAATCAAAAATTGGTATGCTTCCTAACATTGCATTTTTTGATAACTCAATGATTACTCATATATATTTAATAAACGAAGGTTTAGAGCATCGCTTAAAAATTTAAAGAAAATTATAATATTTAACGGTTTCTATCGCAAAATAAATATAAAAATATTTTTTTTTTTTAGATTTATACATATTGGCTATATAAAATTCAAAATCGTTTCTATTGTATAGAAATGCATACCTTCGGTTCGGGATATCGTGACATACAACATCGATATATTTTCAGCTGTTGCAATTTCAGGGATGCAATGAAATACATTTTTCAGACACTGACGTGGGCAGTGGGGATTTCAAGCCCCATACTTTGCACTCAGACTTTTTCTAATAAAAAAGATATTCATATTGGTAAAATTAATTAAACGTATAAATTTGTGAAAGTTTCTAGGAAAGTTGTAGAAAAATATTACTTAAATAATTGGTTAATAACTATTTAAATTAAATGAAGGTAATATTTTTTATTTTAGAAATTTATAAAAAAAATCTCGTTTTTAAAGAAACAAATTATTATCCAGAAAGCAGGCTAGCTCGTTTGTATAAAATTAGCTAAATTAATTATATATAAATAAGTATTTATTCGAGCACTGGATCTGAGTATCCCTTTTAAATCTTATTTACCTGCACCCCTGTTTTCGCATTTGCTGTACTTTAGCTTTGTGATAAGGTTGTTTTGTGGAAAATATTCTGATATTTTGAGGGCCCATCTCTAGCTGCGGGTCATAAAACTCCAGTAATCTGCTCGACTACGTGAACCACCCAATCCGACGATTAGATTGCTTAAGAAATGGCCAGCGCACGGAACATTTTGTTGCTCTCCTCGTCGCGTTTGCACGGCTATGGATATTTGGAGCACGCCCGCGGCCAACTGGAGGATCTCTTCAAGGGGTAACTATTACCAATACAGCTATTTTTGTTGGGATATGAATTTATACATAAGAAATTGACATTTATATTGTATTTTTAAAGGCTCCCACTTTGACTAAAATGTACCTTTTCATGGGCTACCATGTTAAGTACACAAAAACACTCTTAAATAATCAAAATATCGAATAATAGAACAGATAATTTTATAAATATTTAAATATTTCTTAACTTTCTACTAAAATTGGATGTTATAATTAAATAAAAATTGCATTTCTATTATACATATAAACTTAAAGAGTGAGTTGTTATCAAGTTTCCATTAAAAAAAAGTTTACAATTAAATAACACTTGGGATCAGAAATGATATCTTACAGGATTATAACAATTTTTTTGATAAATGATCTTGATGTCAAATAATTTTCATCAAGTCGAAAAAAAGGGTATTACAATTAAATATGATATGATGAGGTGATCTTTAAAAAGTTACAACAAAATTGAATTTTTTAACTCTATCTAAATTCTGTTTATTGTATCCCAAAAAAAAATGTGATATTCCTTGCAGAGCCAATGTGAAAACGGTGCTCTTTGTGCCGTACGCTCTGCGGGATCACGACAAGTACACTGCCACCGTGCGGGATGCCCTGCAACCCTGGGGATACAATGTGGAGGGTTTGCACACGAAAACGGATCGGGAAAAGGCTTTGAAGGAGGCACAGGCCATCTTCGTGGGCGGCGGCAACACCTTCGTCCTGCTGCGCACCCTCTACGAGATGCAGTTGCTCGACCCGATTCGGGAACTGGTGCTCCAACGTGGACTGCCCTATGTGGGCAGCAGTGCGGGCACGAATGTGGCCACCAGATCCATCCACACCACCAACGACATGCCGGTGGCCTATCCGCCGAGCTTCGAGGCCCTGGCCCTCGTCCCCTTCAACATCAATCCGCACTATCTGGAGCCGGAGCTGGGCAGCCAGCACAAGGGCGAGACGCGGGACGAGCGGATCGAGGAGTTTGTGGCCTACCACGGACTGCCCGTGCTGGGTCTGCGCGAGGGCACCAGTGTCCGTGTCCAGGGCGAGAAGGCCACGCTCCTGGGCGATCGCCATGCCAAGCTCTTCAAGCCGTAAGTCGATTTGTACTTTGGCGTACGGGTTTCCTTAAAGTTAATACTTAAAATCATTATTTTTAAAAAACAAGTTTTTAGAAACTATATTCAATTATATTATACCCAATCTATTTGTAAGTCAATACAAATCAATCCCCTGACAAAATTGATCTTACATTTCACTATAGTCCTATAATACAAATAAGTCTTGAGCACATCAACAAAGTATGATTTTCAAATATTAAAATAAACCTTTCAAACTTTCATTAAGTTTAAACAAGTTCTTATATATTTTTTTGAAGTTATTATCAAATTTCTACGAAGAATTCTAAAATAAGTGTTAAACCCTTTTAAATTAGTTGTTTTACACCATATATAACTTTCGTTCAGCCAATACATTTCATATTGTCATGTTATTTATTATCATAATTTATGAAATATATTTGTTTAAATTTGTTGCAGTGATGGCAAAGCTGAGGAGCTAGCCCCCCAAGCGGATCTGAGTTTCTTGCTGCTGAAATGAGTATTCACCACGAACCACTTCAAACGATTGAGTTAAAGAAAACATCTAAATTTATTGTACATATGCACATACATAATTTGTATTATTCTGCAATAACAATTCCTATACATAAATAGTACACATATACAGTAATTTTATACTATGACTAAATGTAAAAAAAGTTTTATTTTTTTTTTGGGGTGACAAGGGGAGGAGGACTTCTCCTGGCGAGTGTTCATATATATATATATATTACATTTTTAAATAAATTAATCGAATTTCCCCTTCGTAATCGTAATAATAAGAATTTGACTGGCAGACTTCTTATTCGATGCTAAGACTGATGTGCTGGCAAATGATCAAAATTAACTACAAGTCTCGTTGTTACAGTAGATATCGGCTAAGAGAAGCTGGCAAGCACTTAATAATACTAAGTTTAAAATACAATTTCACCTGATTTTTTTTTAAGTGTATTAATTTATTTACAAAGCTCATCTATGGGTTTTATATTGGCATACAAAAACGTGACATTATCTTATCAATACTTTTATTTATTAAATAGTTTTCCCTTTCTTTTTCGATATGTTGACGGAATTATATATTCTCTTAGCCGATATCTAGTTTGTTTTTTTTTTACATTTTTTACTTGACAAAGTAGAAAGTAAGCACTCCTTAATTTAAACCAGTTTTTCTACTAATATTTCCTTTTTTGGCACACCGTTTTTGAGAGAGCCCATTCATAGGGATTGTAACACGTTGAGGCAAGGCGGCATTTCATTTGTTTTGTTTGTTTTTCGTACAGCCACATCGTTCGTTTCACTTAGATCGTAGTAGTATAACACTTAGCTTAACTAGTCATTTAAATAGGAGTCAATGGTGCGCCTGACTAACGTATGAAAGATAGGAATTGTTAATAGAGTTAGGCGGCGTATGCTAAGTATTTACATGCGAAAATTGAATGTCTGTTTGAAATGGCTCGAACAACTGTCCTACAACTGTCCATCTACGTTTAGTTTAACTACAACTAATTGCTGTTTACCATTTTGAGCATTGAAAGTTTCACTTTAAAGCAAGCAACAACGGGAATTGCCTAGGCCTAAACACTAAGTTGGGATTGAGAAAGGTCCGCTACAGGTCTTCGTCTTACACTTGGAAGCCACCTTCGAAATTGATTTCTAAATGGGGTTTAAGCCTTTTGGGTGCGAGTATAAGATTGCTCATAATAAGTCCTGCATAAGATCTATTCGACATGCACACACACACACACTCACACTCACTTCAATCACGCGATCATGTACACATGGAAATATATTAAAAAGGAACTGATGATATAACAGGCAGGAGCAGGAGCTGGAGTTGGAGCTGGAGCTGGCGAAAGATGCGATTGGATCCATGCTATTTGTGCAGAATACTTTTGTCCTCGTAGCGAATGATGGCGTCGCCGATCTGCTTGCGGGACGCCAAGTGGATGCACTGCTCCCGACCACAGCGCTCCGGCTGGCTCTCCGGCAGCGATCCGGCACGTGCCAGGTGGTTCCGCACATCCTGGCCGAAGCGAAGGTTCGGCTCCACGCCACGCAGTATGTGCACCGAGTGCTGTGCGGCCACGAACATATCGAGGATGCTCTCCACGCCCGGTGGTCGCGTCTCCTCGCCGGGCTGCAACAGCAACTGGTCGATGTCCAGGTCGCTGCGGATGATTGGCAGTCCCTGCGGATGCAACAGCTTGCGGGCTGTAATTGGAGAAGTTAAAAAAAAAAGGATACGTCATTTTAGCCAATAAACATTAAAAACTATGTGGCAGTTATCCTCACTTTAGTTTCCATTTATTTGTTAATTCAGTTCTTCTCCAGATCTCTTCGCACATATTCAGTGGCTCCTAGCTTACTTTCTTATTTATTAATTTGTTTATAAATTCGTTTGTTTGTTCACTTCTTCACTTTCTCATTTGAAAAGTTGCAAAGTCAGTTTGTGGTGCAACAAATCACTGCAAACTAGTATTAGTGTGATAATTAATAAATGAACAAGTGAGCCACTATCAAAATGAACAAGTTAGGAAGAGATCCAGTAAGTAATACTTTGATAAAATATACCAAAAATCATTAGTGTTACTTGAGTGAAGTGAATCAAAAGAGATCTAGAAAATTAACTACAGGGCAAATGAACAAGTAAGCAAATGAACTCTAGGGTGAATGAACACTCCGGAGTGAACAACAAAATGAGTGTCTCTGGAATTCAGTCACTTATGAGCAAACCACCACTCACCCTGGACATAATCCCGACTGTAGAAGGCGATCACGTCGTGGTTGCGGCGATCAAAGTAACCGCTACTCTGGCTAACGTCGCAGGTGTCGCACTCCCGGCAGAACTGCGCCCACCGGCATGGGTACATCTGGAAGCCGATCGGCGCGTACACCTGGAAGCCCTGGATCGTGTTCATGCGCACGCGGTTGAGGAAGTCGGCCTTGAAGACCATGCCCGGGGTGGCCAGGAGCACGAGCGATTCGAGACCGAGCTTGGGCAGCGCCAGGTCCGCCACCACCAAGCTGAGCAGCTGGCGCGGTCCGTACATGGAGGCGTGCAACAGCCAGTCCTGCGGATCTACCGGATTGCTCAGCTGCTCCGGCAGCCGAATGGATACCCAGGCGATCCGCGAGCCATCCGTTTTGTATTTGGAGGACAGGTCCAAGGCCAGCGTCTTCAATGCCTTGAAAGGATCCTCGTCACCCTTGCTGGGCGACTCCAGGCGGTACATGAAGATCTATGGGGTAAAACGTAGGATTTATTCTGCAACTACAAATAGTAACTGTGTGTGTGTGTGTGGTCTCACCAGCAGCAGGAAGGTGTTGTCCTGGTTTTGCATGCAAATCCTCTCGTACTGTTCCACAAACTGCAGAGCATCCGGCACCTGGTGCTCAAAGGCGGGCACCAACATGGCAATTCTCGTGCTCTCCGTGACATATGGCGATGGGACCACCTCCACGCGACCCAGTGGCTTCACCACCTCAAAGCTCTTGACCAGCAGTCGACGACTCCGGCCCGATCCCTCCTGCAGACTGAGATGCAGCTGGTAGTCCATGCCCCTTGTGGCATCGAACTTCCGGTAGGCACTGTGCAAACTGTGGTAGCTCAATCGCGGATGCTTGAGGGCCGCATACTGCAGCGCTATCTCCAGCACTTTGGCAAAGTCCAAGGCCTCGATCCGCGAGAGCGGCGCCACCGCGTGCTCCGCATTGCCGTGCGGCAGGAAGCTATGCGTCCCGTTCAGCAGCTGCCACGTGAGGATGTCGTGGCGCGTCTCCGGCGCACTGGGCGGCGGCACGCCCAGTGGCCAGCGGATCTCCAGGATCTTGTTCGAGATGCTCCCGTTGGCGATGCGATATGACTTCTGCTCCAGTGCATAGCCCCGCTCCTGCACCTTCTCGAGGTGGTGCTGCAAAACAAAGAGATTCATAGATATACATTTTTAAATTAAAATAGAATTATAATTCAGAGGTTTCTGAGACTATGAAGCCATATATTTACTATCCGAGATAGTCATAAATTATATTATTTATATAATATATATTTAATTGCCATTTCCAATTTTATAAACTTTTTAAGTTCCCATAACTATTTTAAATTTATTTCATCGATCCAAATCGTTTTTATTAATTAATTATAAAATCACAGGGCTTTAGTATCTCCAAAGATAGGTTTTGATTAATACCGAAATTTAATTTAATTTAATGACAAAACACGATTAAATCCATATAATTTTTGAATACGTTTCTATAAAATGGTTTTGAAATTTGATCGATTAAATCTATATAATTTTCGATAACAGCGATATTTAAAATCGGGATTTTTAGCGATGTGCTCGCTATACATATTATGTTATATTCACCTTGGAGTAGTAGGCGTGCAGACGGTAGAAGTCCTCGGGCGTCTGGACGGGATACACGGTGCTGGCATTGCGGAAGGCCTCCTCTTTGGCCAACTCGCTGAAGTCGCGATGTCGGCGGCCCGGCGCATCCAAAGAGTAGCTATACTGCCTCATGCCCTGCAAAGCAATAAAGATACAAATGTAGATATATATATAGTATATATAGAGAGAGTTGGCCAAGGTCAAGGTCAAGATCTGAACGATTCCGTGGAAGGGTAAACGTGCTGGGGATCCCACGACTGCAATGCCACATGCTTGCATGAAGCGATCCCTTTTTACGATCCATAAAATATGCCACTGACTGCCAAGAACGAGCATAATTAAATTAACAGTGTCGCACTAATGGAACAAAGATAGCCATTTCGATCGCGGATTTGCCCCCTTTTCCCAACCCACTGTGCATTATTTCCCGCCCTCGTTTTCCATTCGGAGCATTTTTAATTGGCGCGCGCACATTAATCAATTCCCCGGCAAAATGGACCGCAGACCAGCTTTTGAAGACGCCGTTAAGCAAACTCTTTAGGGCAGTTAATTAAGCGAAACACTCCGGCAAACACACTTGCATATCTGCAGTTTTTGTTTAGACAGCTGCAGTCGAAATAAAAACATTAAAAACGGTTTCAATAATTAAAGGAAAATAAAACCGTTAAAGTATTAAAAGTATTTTCATAGCTCTATCAAAAACATCAATTCTATCGATATTAATATTATAAATCATTTATTCTGGATGTGTTAATATCGACACCAAATCTTTGGATTACATTTGTTCCATGCAGAATTTTAATAAAGGTAACCGAAATATGAAATATATAAATACATAACGAAACATAGATACTTTCGATGTTTAAAAAACACATTTTAATTTTACAAAATGATTTGACAAATAAATTTTAAAATAGCGAACAAAAATTTTGAAATGGGAGTTTTTTGTTTTCAACCGATCATATTAAAAAAAAACTGAATTTTATTGGTCCCTAGAAAAGATGACAAAAACGTTTTCAATTGAAATTGGTATTATATTTACCCCTACGTACGCTGATGTGTGGAGACCACACATAGGACATAAATCATTCCATGCTGCCCCACCGCATAAATAAACGCAAATCCAAACAAACCAATCGAAATCAAACGAACGTGAAGCTAACATCTCAACATCGACCAGCTAAAAAGTTCCATTTACTCACGGTTCTTCGACTGTTTATGCCAAACTACGCTGCTAGCTCATATACATAAATAGAGCAATAATCAGAATTGATAATGAGTAAGAGACACCACACCTTCGCTTTGGTTCAGAGGAAGTACAGTGTTTGCTAGTTAATTTACTAAATTTTGGGTTTTTATAAAGGTATTTTTAAATTGAAAATGAAAAAAAAAATTACATATTCCAATGTGGAAAAATTTGAGTTTTCTGATAGCAATCCAAACACATGAAGTTTTTAAGGAAAAAAATAATATATTTAAAATTTTTTTGGCTTTACAAATCACTACTATATTTTTGACCCAAACAATTTAAATGATAAATAAATCTTTAAATTAAATTCTAGTCTAGAAAAAACCGGTATATATTTTGCACTTTAAATGAAAGAGGAATAAAAAAATGTCTGCAACTATTAAATAAAAAAAAAAAGAAAACACGACTATCTTACGATTTAACTGGAGACTTTAAGTGGTTGCTCTCAAACTGTCACGATGTGAAGTTAACATTCACAGCCTCCCCGCCCAATGCCACGCCCCCTACGCACACACTTAATCGACGGCAAAGAAATTCTTTTGTTGCTACTTGGAAATTAAATAAACTGTGATGTCCATCAACTGAGTGAGGCTGGTCTTGCTTTGAATTTGGTTGCTCATCTGCTTTTTGCGTGAATTTGTTCGACCAGTGACGTACGAAGTGGAGATTATGGGGGCCGAAACCCTACAGTCGAATCATAAAATATGTATTTTAAATGGAAACTTGAACATATTTAAATAAAAAATACACGACCTTAAGTTTTTAAAAAATCATTTTCTGATATTAAGGAACATTGCTAAACCAAATCTTCTGATCATTGAAAATTGAAAAATAGTTTTTTTTCCATGGGAGAGTTTTTTGTCATTCTAGCATTGACTGCTATTCAAATTTTGCTATTTTATGTCTTGTTTTTGTTGAAATTAAAGTGTTAAACAAACTTATAAATAAACAAACGACTTTGGGAGTGAAATATTAAATTTAGCCTTATAACTTTGGAATGGAAAAATTTTTTAAGCCTTTAACTAAAAAATTAATACGTTTAAGTTCTTGCCTTTTTTAAATCGACATATCTGTATTATTTGCAAATGAATTAGTAGTTTAGTTATTTATAATTTTTTAGACGATGGGACAAAAACGAACCCCTTTAAAAACAGAACGTACGTCACTGTGCGTGAGAGTATCTTTGCTTGTTGTTGGTGCTTGACTCTTTTTATTTTCTTTGGATTTTCAGGGTCACTGTTCAGCAGTGTTGGTCGAGTTTTTAGAAAGAACCAAAGCTGTTTGAATGCGTTTGCATATTAGTATACGAATTATAACTGTAACAATATTATATATTTGTAGGAATACTAATTTTTTGGGATTATTTTTAAATTTGAAATGTTTAGCAATATTTTTGTAAATTTCAAAAAGGCTATAATTGTCAGGAAAAAAAAAGCTGAACCGGTACCACTGATATTGTGTATCAATGAACTGATTTTTTTTTCGACCAAAGATCAAGATAAATTTGTATGTTCGAATGTGTGTCTGTCTGCCTGTACTTTTTTTTTGAGTCAATAGCAAATTGTTTAAATAAATAAAAACCACATTTAGGAAGTCCGTACAGATTGCACGACAGAAAAAAATCTGAGATAGCTTAAAAAACAGGCGGCAAATTAATTGAAGAATATACAATTTATTCTAGAAAAAATTGTGTTTTATTTAATATATTCATTGAAAGACTAATAAAAACAAATAATCAAAATATATTGAAAAAGAGTTTTAAAAATAAATTGGGGTTTGCTTGAAAATGTTATTCTCATTCGGGATATAGTATTTACGCTGATAAAAAACAACTTATTAAAAGTCCAAATATTTTTGGGAATAGGTTTTTTTTGTTTGCCGCAATTAATATGCGTTGCATTTGATATTATGATTTTATATTTAACTTAAGCGTGAAGTCAGGCGCAAAACTAATATATTTTGTATGTATTATTAAGGAGAGTTATTTTTGTTTGCAGTTTTAGGGACTTCCACTTATTCTGTCCGAGAACGGGGACTCACCTGGAAGCTTTCCTGGCATCCGGCCACCCGACTGGCGTACTTCACACACCTCCCAATGTTGACGCTGTGGTCACTGGTGCTCCCAATCCGGACGCAGCGCTCCAGATTGTTGCGCATCTTACGGATGACACTGCTGCTGAGCAGAATGCCCGCCTCTAGGGAGCAGTAGTTGCGATCACTCGTCCCGGGGGCCTCCTCCTCGTTCGCCGGCGGCTCATTCGATTGGCCATCGGCGATGGAGGCACTGCCCGCCGGATCCAAACCAATCCGGGCACCACCCATATACAGATCGAATGTGATGCTCATGTGATAGAGCAGCTTCACCAGCTTGCGGGCATCCACATAGACGGTGTCCGGCACCAACAGGAAGTAGTCATACTCATCCAGATAGTTGTCCGCTATATACTTGACCACGTGGAATGGCCGTCGACTCTCGCGCGTATCCGTGAAGCCCACAATGTTCTTCAGCTTGTAGTTGGTCTTCACACTGTCCGCATAGATGAAGAACTTGATCTTGTTGACCAGGTGGGCCGTGGTGCGGTTGAAGGCCGTCGCAAAGGTGTTAATGTGCTCCTGCGAGGTCATCACCCCGATGAAGAGCTTCTCGCGGATCCCCAGTTCCGAGGAATAGTAGCGCGGACGAATCACATTTTTTACCTGCAAAACAGTTAACGAAATAAAGTATTTGGTAAAAAATGTATTGAACAATATGTACGGATTCCACACTCAATTACCAGAATTTAATTTATTATTTGTAAATACTTAGTTGCTATTGAAAATTTCATTTAGGTAAATGGTAAACTGGTAAACTGACATTTGTCAGCAGTTAGTTAAGAATAATAAATAAATTTACGTTTACGATTTACAAAACTTTTAAGTAAATTTTAAGAGTTACTTAATTTGCAAACATTTTCTTCTAATTAGTTATTCTGCTTTTCAAAATCAATCAGTAAATGTAAATGTTTAGTTCTGTAATTAGAAGAATGGAATGCCAAATACAAGACCCTTGGAACAACCAATCTCTCCAGTTTCGGGAATCACAATCAAAGCTCAACTATGCGATGAAATGGAAATGGAAAAGGAGAACCTATCTGGAAAGCATCTCCAATGCATCAGGGTGAATAAATTGTTGATATCCAAGCAGATTGATCTGCTTGTGGTAAGGGGAAGACTTTGGTTCTATAATTACCAAACACGGTACGTGACTTTAGAAAACAAGTTTATTTTTAACATGAATCGTATTCCTTCAAATAATGTGTTTTTTGTTTAGCTTGTGATATACGATTGTAATATATTTTAACATAGTTCCAAAGAAATATACCAAAGCTATCTTGATTCAATTTCTTATTTCCGTTAGAGATCCAACATCTGGCTTCTAATATTTTCTGTTAAGATTAAACAATTCCCAGCAATATGAGTAATATTATCTCTCCGTTTCCACCTGCCTATTTTTAGCTGCTGACATGCACTCAACCCAATAAAAGTGCGTTAAGGGTCTTTTATCTTGCCAATTACATCTATTTCCTCCACGCTTATGTACTTAAGGCAACTGCCTCGTAAAACATCTCTTTCAAGTGGTTCCAGTTCTCTTTGCCCACTTGAAGGTAAATTTTAATTCTTATTTTTTACGATTAGATGACTGTTCAAAGTTTGGCACGGTGATGAGGAATTCCCCTCGAAAAAACAACTTTATCCACTATCTTTGTGTTAATGACTGAGCAGAAAAATGTTACCGATTGCGTTTCCCAGAATGCCTAGAAACGATGATAATGTCAGGTCATGGATTTAAAACCATGTGATTTTAAAAGTTGACAACTGGATTCTCTGGTCACGTCAAATGGAATATTTACTATTATTTATTGTGCCTTAAAAGAACCATGTGACATATGGCATTTTAAGTCCGTATTAATATTAATTTAGAATTTTTTTTGATTAGTTAACTTTGCATACAATTTTCTTAAGACAGCTATAAGCTTTTAAAAGTCAACTATACCATTTATGTTTTAAGAAGAAGGAGGATTATAAAATATATATTTATATAGTTCATTGTTTTTTAACAATTTTCTAAAAAGTTTGTTCAGTAAATCTTCTCTTGTTTGTATTAAAATTAAACATATTCTTTAGTATTTACTGCCATAAGACTGCTGTCAATACGAAGCTATAAACAAACGCACACCTAATTTATGGCTGCAAATAATGTAATTGTTTTTCTGCTTTCGTTTGGAATTTAATGGAATTCTGAGTACTGGCAGAATTTCGCAGAACTGAATTATAGCTCTACGCCAAAAAACTTTTGTGACTCACTGTGCAGGTAATTTAAAAGAAGAAAATTAGCTAAATATACATACTTCGTTTAGCGTTTAAATGGGCGTTTAACCGCCCTTCGAAATTTGCATACATGCAACTGGCTGAGTAATTTACTGAGCGACCATCTTAACCCACTGTTGACCCAAAGAGATGCGTGCATAGTGGTCACTCCTCCACCTTGATTTCCACCTGAGTTCGTTGAGTAAACAATTGCCAGTTGTGCAAGCACTTTGCTGTATTTTTTTTTTATTTATTTTTTGTCTGGGTAAATGTTAAACGGTGGCTGTGTGCAGTTTACAGGAATTATGGCTAATTAAAAATCGTTCTTAATAGATTTTTAATAACGGCAAACAAGCTGTTTGCTGCCGTGTTTATATGGCATCGTAAAGCAGCCGGATTAGCCAGGGTCAGTTTCAATTAGTATTACTTCATGTTTTTAAAAGACGCAGTACATGCGGGGAGTATTTCAATACATTCTCAAAGAACCTCATTATAAAGTTGCTCTGATTTTGAAACAGAAAATAAATGGTTAATAACCATTTTTCCATCAAAATATAAGAGGGTACTCAAAATATTTAGCCTGACATCAATCATTTAATGAAATGGTTTGACAGCATATTTTAAAAATAATAATTTTTTAATATATGTTTTATGAATAGTTATTTTTTTATTCTTAAAACGCGTGTGTCTCAAGTGGTCAGTGATTCTGGAGGTGGAAAGGAGAGGAGTGGGGATGCGGAATGGAGTGTCGTCAACAGTTGCTAGCTAAATGAAAATAAACACTCGTCTGCGGCGGCAATTAACAGTAATCACCTTAATAAATATATGTATTATATTAGTGAGCGAGCAAGAAGCACCGAAAAAAATTTTTATGGAAATCCAAAATTTATTGTAGTAAAACCTTTATTGAATAAAGAGTTTTTAAAGTAGCACAAAAGATAAACGTAATTTAAACCAGAGAAGACTATAATAATTTTAGATATTTTTCAGCCTTTATAATAACTAATTTATCTACAGAAATATGATTTAAACTGTAATATAATTTTAAAAACACTTTTATACATTTTCATTGTAGTTGAAATTAATTAAGTAAGTATTTCGTATGAATATAAGATTTTCTCGCTGTGGAGGGCCAATCAAAGTCGCGTTAGGCGCGATCGAGAAAACCAATTTCAATTTCAATTCGTATTTAATTGAATTGCAGGCAATGCAGTACGAGTACCTCGTTTCGTTGCGTATGCAATCGCTGCCCACTTAATGGGTCCATGTGGCGCTTTAATTGCCGCGGTGGGGTCACAGCTTGATCCGCTGATCCACAGTGGATCGGTTCAAGATCTAAATCTGACCTTGTGCCAATACCACAGATAGATTCGGGCTAAAGAGACGGGACGCACACGCACATTTGCCAATCATCAGATGTGTAAATATCGCCGAAAGATAAACCACGGGTAAAAATAACACAAAAAAAAAAACACAACATCCATTTGGGCTAAGATCGCTCTCGAGATTTGTGCTTGTTCGGTTGGATGTTTTGTATCGTTTTTGGGTAAATAAAAATGCTTTTCTAAATATGAATGATGCATGAATAATGAATAAACTATTTTCAAGAAACCAACATTAAAATAGTGATTGCTGTAAGCTATTTTAATAGGAAATGTATTTATTTAAAAAATAAAAAAAAAACAAATTATAGGCTTAAATATTTAAACAATTTCTTTCTGAAAGTTTAAATTTATTTGTTTTAAAAATTCTCGTTTGTTAAATATTTGTTCACCTAAAAAAATTTCTATTACCCGAAGAGGTGAATGACATGTGATTTTTGGTAATTATTGTGGAGCCTTTTTGGATACAACTTTTTTGATGTGACAAATGAAAGCATTGTTTACTTTACAAACTTCAATTGCATAACATTTACATTTTATGCTAATAATACAAAAAATGTTTTTACTCTGTTTTATTGTCGTTAGTTTGCCAGTCGCCACTGTAAATCTACTTGTATATATGTAAAGCAGTTCCTAAAAACTTGTCGGCTTTTAACAATTCCGTAACAAGGTCGTGCCAGGCGCAAATGTGATTCACTAAAAGGTTTGTTCACCTGAACAATGAGTTCGCATCTTTGATCCAAATTCCACATAAACCATACACAACCGAGAATAGCTAATAAATTTCCCGCTGGCGGATAAATTCGCGCCACCGATTGAGGAAATCTTTGGGGCACGTGGGCCAAGTTATGGTAAAGATAACAACCACTTTCGACAACCTTGTGACGTAATATGACAACAACGGAAGTGAGCCAAAGAGTTAGGAAGAGTATTTATTGACGAACCGAGCAACCAGCAACCGAGCCAACTGGCTAACCGCCTTATCGATTGGCTGCCTTATCAGCGGAAAGATATGGCTAAGACGACGTCACCGGCACCCAAAACATCGGGCGAATAAGAACCAAAGGCATTTCCAATTTCAATTTCCATTTCCATTTCAAAAAAATTAATTAAACACACATTGATAGGGATTTTGTTTGTTTACTTGCTGCTGCTGCCCATGCAGTAAAAGGTGACTCTTTTCCCAGAGAAACAACAAAAAACACAGCCATGAGAATATCTAACAACAGACGAGGCCTAATATCATATATATAATATATATCTGATAAATACAGGCAAACAGGTTATTCTGTATATTTTATCATCTATTATTATATTGTTATGTCGAAATGGTCTTAATGTTAAATAACAAATTTTATCATAGGTTTAAAGTTAATTAAATGGCAGATAATTCAGTTAGTAGTTCTTATGAATATTTGACACCATTTTGTATATATGTTAGTAGGTAATTTACTTAGTAGTTCATATATTCGACATCATTTAACGTTTTTTGTACGGAAACATTATTTTACCAAGCAGTCAGTTTTAACTTTGATTGAAATATATTGTCCGTTCAAAACAACGAATAACCCTTGTGACAATATTACCGAATTTAAGCGTATCAGTTCGAAATATTCATACAGCTTGCCATATTGTCAAATGTAAGTTTAAATTTGTTGGCTTGATGAGTCAGGGAGTGGGTTAAACTTGAACTTAGGACGCGATAAAATGTTCACAGTTCCCGCACAGTGATTATATGACTCCTGTCGTCGTCGTCGGCATTTGGTGTAATAAATCTCCAGATAGCCATAGCCCCTATGGTGTAGTTTTTTATATGGCGACTACTTAAGGTGTGTTTGCTTTTGTAGGCAAAGTGTAATGAGCCGAATGAGTGATATCTGGAGCATGTTAGAGATTTAACACGGGGTTAGTTTATTTGAATAAGGCCTAGCTAATATTGTGCCAACGATTAAAAACAAATATTTTGCCAACGATTACAAGTAATCTATTTTTCATTCTTCAAGCTTTAAGGCACTTCTATTTTTAGAGCTAGTGTATTTATTATCCGAAATTAATGATTCTATAGAAGCAAACGTGATTCAATTACTCAACAATCCAAATTAAGTGATCGATCAGTTGATGTGCTATTGATAATTATAATTAATTAAATGACTATTTTAAACTAATCGCTTCCGAGTTAGTAATTATAAGGGCATAATATGGAATTCTAATTTGTTAAACCATTTAGGGACTAATTCATTAATACCTGATATTGGATTTAAGAAAGTGTTTCTAAAAAATCGACTCCTTAAAGTTCGCCTATGCAATAAGTGTCAATAACAAAATTATTTTCGAATTAAAAACTGTAATGCCCTTAACCCCCTTGTTCAGTCGACTTATTAAAGACGTCAATGAACCGTATTTAAAATCAATTATTTAAATTAACGGATCAGCACTCGGTAACCCCACGGTAATTGATTCAATTATGAATCGAATTGCTGTGTTGGTTGTAAGTGTAGTTTAATTATTCTAGGGCAGTTTTATAGCTTAAATGGCTGTCTTTGGGTAACCTAAGGGTATTTCGTTCTTTTGTAAAATCTTATTAATAACAAATCTAATAGAATCCATAGATCTTTACGTAAAAGTCTTAAAGACCCAATGCCCCCAATCGGATTTATATTGATTGTCACAATGACAGATGTCTGGATTTGTTTGCCTAAACCACTGAATCACTCAGCCACTGCAGAGTCGACACCTTTACATTACAAAATATATATATGTATGTGCAGTTGCCCAGACATATGGCGTACGGATCAGGTACATATAGCATATATAGGCGGCTGGCAATCTCGGCTCGTTTTTTACATGCTCAGACAAAGAGAGAGTGAGCTGTGCAGCTGCAAATTGTATTGGATTGGACAAATCTTAATTGGGACAAGTGCGCCGTCGACCAGACACCGAGTTTTTCTAACGCCCGCGGGGGAAGCATCAAGTCTAGTCAAGTCCCCAGGGGCTTATGTCAATTTATTGGGGCCGCAACAGTACTATATCGTATCGCACCGAACCGTATTGTACAGTCTGCCTCCAAATAAATGCCTCGAGCCTCAGACTTCAGACCGGAAATGCGACGCGCTTTTCAATTAAGCCCCGCCAAGATGTTACCATTCAGATCTGCCCGATCTGCCCGATCTGTCCGATTTGCCCGATCTGGGTGAGTTCAGTGGCAATTGTGGGAATGCCCCAACTCCCAAGCGTATCGTCGTCGCCCATAGAAACCACATCCACATCCCGCTGTTTCTGTTCGTTATGAATGACTTCAGTTTGCTTCAGATTAGATCATGGAGAATTAAATTCGAGCTCCTGGTAATAGCATAATATAGATTTAAATTTTTTGAATTAAGCTAATATAACTGTTAACTTTTAGTAATTACAAAAATAAATATAAATTAGAAGATAGTTTAACATACAATCACTGATCGTTGAAGTCCACATAATCAATTTTAGGAAATGCAAAACAATATTTATCACAAATGTATATTTGTAGGATAAACAAAGGAAACAATAGATTCTGGTTTATATGGCCTAAGAGTGCTTAAAATATATTCAAATTCAAAAAGGTAAAGTAGCTAGTTTCACTCAAATACTTTTCCATACGCCACAAAATTGAAAAATTTTACTCCTGCATTGTGATCTTAGCAATAAAATAATACAAGCTATTTGTAATTTTTATAAATATTTATGATTATTTTGATTTATTAATTTTCATGATCTTTCTTTATATAGATAACCTACTATTCATACGTCACTTGTGCTTATCATATGAAAAAACTTTTCTTAATCATCACGTTTCAATTGTTTGATTATATAATCGGAAAACAAATGTTTTTTTATGTCATACGTTTATCTTTATAGAATCAAAAGATTATCATATCTTGGCTTTCATAGAGCAATTGACTCATGGCATCATCAATTGAGTGGCAGAATTTGCTCCCGATGGAGATTTAGTATTTCGTAAATAAGTTTTGTTTGCTTCTCCTCCATCTAGATTCACTTGTTTGTCTATTTAATCAAATATTGGCGAACGCAAATCGATTTTGGTTTTGGGATTTGGTTTCGGTTTCCATTTCATTTTCAATTAAAATCTTGCGCAACTTTGTACACCCGATAAGCGGGTATATTTATAGACCTAGTGCTACGCCAGCCAGTCGGCTGATAAGTGGACATAGAAAAAGCAAACCCATTGATCGGCCAGAAAGACGATCTTTGGGGTTCAACCAATTCTTTATTCAATACACATGGTTGAGGCATTTAATTGTACAAATTTCTTCGATGGTGGTCCATTTCGAGTGGTTCATTTGTCGGCATGCATCCCAACACCCATATACTTGTCGAACAGATAGTCACCCACATCGCTCTGAGCCTTTTCCAATTGACAGATGTAGTCCGCCAGGATCTTCTGTCCGTCGACCTGCTCCTGCAAGAAGTTCGCCTCGATAAAGTCGCACAGATTCGGGTCCGACTCCTCACCAGCCAGGGTATGCAAATCCAGCAGATGCTGATTGACCTCCAGCTCCATTTTGAGGGCCTGCTTTAGGGCATCGAGACTGCTGGCAAAACAGGGCAACGGCTCGGGTACACTGCTCAAAACAATAAGACCACCCCGCTTGTTCATGTACTTCATAATCTTCTCCGCGTGCTCCCGCTCCTCCGCGCTCGACTGCAGGAAGAACTTGTGCAATCCCGGCGAACTGATATCCGAACGATCGAAATGGTAGGCCTACGTAGATTGAATATACTTTTTATCCCGTGAAAAGAATTAGAATTAAGATTAATTTCATTTCTTTAACTTTTTTGGCTCAAGGTCTCCATTAGTCTAACGATTTTTATTGGCACTAACTATAACGCTCTATGTCATCGAATTCCAATAAAATATTGTAAATTTTAAATTAGATTTCTAAATTGAATCGATCTTAAACAAATAACATAAGCAAACAGTTTCTTTTTGGCGATTTTCAAATTTAAGAACAGAATTTTTAGATAATAACATTGAAAAATATTTAAAGTTTTTGAATATATGCTTAAAATTATTTTCCATTAGTAATAAATCTAAGAAAGCTGTGCAATATTGTATCAACATCGGAATACGATATTCGCTGGATAGCAAATTCTGCATGGCGTATTTCTAGATCTTCGTTCCGGAACGCAACTACATCCTGTACCCAATATCCTGTATCCTGGCTCCGGATACTTACTCACCATGGCCAAGTACTGGTGGCAAGCCTTCAGCTCCATGTTGATCTGGTCGTTTAGCTTGTTCTCGCAACTCTTGGCGAAATTCTGACGCATCAGCATGCACATGTGGCGCTTAATGTTACGGAAGCACAACGCCATGTCTTTCGTTTTTTTTTCTTAGTTGTAGATCCAAAATTTTTTTTTTTTAAGTTTAGAAAACCATACAATTTTGAATTGAAAGCAAAAACACAAACAGAGTGTCTGAAATGCCAACTAGGTCGGTTTGGACAGGTGGTGAGCGATCGGAGGCGGCCCATCCAAATCCGTCCATTGATCTCCACATCGATCATCGACTATGGAGATCGTGATCGGGGAGGTGGTGATCCGCTGACCCACCGCCAAAAAACGGTGGGTTAGAGTTCAAAGTGCTGCCGGCTCTGATTTCACTTAACTTCCACTTAGCTATAGTGTGTACACAATCGCTCTCGCTTCGTTCGCATATACGTATTCCATATATATACACCATATACTTACATATATATCTCTGTCCAGATATGTTTGCCTTAACTTCAACAAGTACACACGAACACGAACACACGGGGCCACACTAAGTAAACGCAGTTATTGTCTTTTATTAAGTGAATGGAAGACGACTTTGGTCCGAATTTTGTATAATCTTGTGATACCCTTTCTCAGAGTGTTAACCATTTTCTTTAGGTTTAAGAATGTAAAACATTTCTTGTAATAAATAAAAAATTAATTGTAAAAAAAAAATTCTATAAAACATATCAAAATATTAAATTGTTTATAACAATAAATACCTTTTTTAATTAATAGATCTTCAAATATTGTGTTCTTTAAAATTAAACAATTCTTTATTAACTACATCATGTTTATTAAAGATTTTTCATCATCAAGTTAAAACTGGATTTTAAACAAAAATAAAAGAACAATATTTTGCAGGGTACCTATTAAGTCGACTATAGATTTCCTTAAGCGATTATTTTAAACTCTCGTCACAAAGAAAAAAACGCATATATTTAATATTTAATTATAATTATTACCGGGGCTAAGAATGAAGTTAATTTTAGGAGGTAAAGGTATTGGCAATTTGAAGATCATTCAAGCCGGAGTTTGAAGACATTATCTAAGACACTGTGATCAACTGACCAAACCTACCCGTAGTTTAATACTAACATCCACTCATTACGCACATTAAAAAATACAACAATGAAATGGTCGCTCTTGAGCCATGTGCGCCTCATAAAAAAGGCAATAATAAAGATATAAGTAAGCATTTTCACCGACACACAAAAAACCAAACCGAAAAAACACGTAAGAGTTATGCAAATCATCGTTCAAATGGACAAAAACAATCTATAAGAATAGGTTCTGTAATAATATAGAATTTCTTTTCTTCTTTCTTTTATATACAATTATATTATTAAGTTATAATAACTTGTTAGCATCATCCAGAAGATGTAACTTTAAAACTAAAAGTACAAGACATAGCCAAACGGATAAAGTAAGCTTTTAATCTTGACTTCCAGATTTAAATTGTATTACAATTTTTAAAGTGTCCATGTGTTTAGAATATTAATTTTTATTCCATAAATTTCTTATTTAAATTATGAATTCACTCCAGAAGACCCAGCAAAGTGCAAATTGGGACCTGTATGACAACTTCGACGACACTTTTACATCACCTCCAAAATAATGGCAACAATCCAGTTTTCGGTGTCATAAAAACGTGCAACAAATTATTAACATTATATTAAGCTGCGGCGTCACAAAAATAAATATATATATATCCGACGTGTTGAACATAACGCAAACGCAGCATATAAAATAAAAAATCAACATAAATTGCTGAACATGAGGTGGAAAAAAGCGTACGCCACAAGAAAATATTTAATCGATTTGAGTCTTTGTCGTGATGATGCCCTTCCAAAAGGTATATGTTTTTTTTTAATTAATATTTTATATTGATTTGTGGGAAGTGCATTAATTTATAAGACTTGTCTTGTAGCGCTAGGATAACAATAACAATAAATAAATAAATTCGCAAAAACTGTTAAAAAAAAAAAAATGTTTATTATTCGTGGTTTTTAATTATTTCTTTGATTTTCAAGTGTATTTCAAGCTCAGTTGGCAATATCTCCTGTTTTTGCGCACTCTTTTTAATTCAATAAATTGGGTCTTTGGTCGGCGTAGGGATAATTTACAATACATACGGACGGTGTATCAGTTAACATTTATGGGTTTATTTATTTAAATTTAATTTACGAGCACCCGATCGTCTGGAATTTACCGCCGCAGTTCATTTAAAACTGTTAAATGCGACCTGGCAAAGGAAAATAATAGGGGAAAAGTAAAGCAGAGGCAATTTGAGAACTTTCCACAAGTCACGCCAAAAAGCTTAGCTTTTCCACAATAAATAAAATAAATCGCAGAGTGGGAACTTGAGTTTGTTTGCGGGAATTCATCGATAAGCGGAATAATTCAAGCCGAAAAATATAAAGTGACGTCTGAAACGAAGCGGTCGAAAATTGAAGCACAATGGAACACTGGACAACAGGGTCTACGACTAATCGGCGAAATCGGGAGAACCCATATGGGCAGTGTGGAATGGGTCATTGCCCCAGGAAAATACTTAAAGCAATATGTGAAACAAATGTTCGGTGTTAATTACAACGCTCGCTCGGAAACTATAACTTGTATGATTTAGAGAGGTTTCTCTACGAATTAGAGAGGCCATTCCGAGGCATACGTGTGCCGATTTTGAGAACCCAGTAGACACACGTGTTGCTTGGACTTGGATCTATAATAAATAGTTTTGTTTTAGATCAGTAAAGGTTAGTAATCCTATCAACTTAACTAAAATTCTCTCTTTTGCAACAGTTTAACACCTCTCCAACGATTCATTTAGGAATCCCAAGAGATTTTCGTATTTCCTTAACCAATTTAATTAAGTTTCAGCAATTGTATTGCCCCTTTTTACAATTCTTGAGGGGCAGTTTAAAATTGAAAGCCATCTTCTTGAGATAGGATAAGCTTTAATCTATCCTGGGCAAAGAAATTCGGTGTAGTCGAGTGTGGCGTTGCGGCGATAAGCAGGAAGGTCAATAAAGCGCTATCAGCACTGCCCGATGGCTGATGCCTGATATATGAGACATGTGGCCGATGCCGCCGACGCGTCGGCTAAGCATTTGCATTTTTTTGGTTACCATTTCACAGTCTCATTGCAATTGGCTATCGAATAATCCATTCATAAGCCAACATGCATCGCATTGGAAGCCAACTAGTTGGCATCAAAAACAAACTTAAGTGAGCAACAAAGCCTCATGTCTAGGTCGCTTTATAATAATCGTTTGGGTTGACTTAACCCTATCTTTAGCACATCACTTCTTGTCTAAATACAGTATTTTCAATATAAACATGAATTAAGAATTTTCATACGTTTTTTCGCATCAATGGGAACATTTTAAGATTTCTTAAAAATCACCATTTACAAATTGTTAACTTTTCTTGTCAAATCCATAATAGTATAATTAATATTATTAAATAATATCTCATGCGGAAGGGTTAAAGCTATTAAAAATGAATCTTTTACCGAATAAGAAGCAGGGTGTAGGATAAATTTCTGCATCTGCAATTCAATAAAGTTGTGAAAATATTTTTTAATAAATGAAAGGCTTTATGATTAGCAATAATAACTACTATTGTTAACAATCCGATAATCTTATTTTGGTCTCATGCGATGGAACTTTTGTGGTACAATATATTTAACATTTTATTGATGAGAACCAGCAAAATATAATTGCCTACTTGCAAGATTGTTAAGGAATATTTTTGCTTCCTTAAATAAGAATTATAAAGCGTTCTTCAAAACATTTCTTTGGCACAAGTGTATATTGCACAAATAAATTTAACATTTTTATTTCTGATGAGCTTTACTATATATTTTTCTAACACCTATCAAAATGAATCTTTTACATTAGAATTCTACTGTTTAGGAAAAGGATTGAGGATATTTGGAATCATCATAAATCTGCAAAAATAATCTTTATTTAGAATAATGGCTTTGCATGTCTGAAGAACTTTTTATGAATGATAAAGAAGGCATCATTAAGGCGATCCTTTGACACTTATCCCCACATATAATTTGAATGTTCTAAAGAACTGGGAACAGTTGACTTACCGGCTTTTTGGCCGCCAGCGGCTTGTTGATGAGGTTCAGATGGGGCTCGAACTCCTGGCCAAATCGTTCGATTAGCAGATTCTCGGCGGCCTCCTGCGGACACTCCTCCTGCTGCACCAGCTCCCAAATGTCCTGCGGAATGTAGAAGCTGAGCAGGAGGCCCAGGACCAAGCCGATGACGAAGTAGTGATTTCGATTTAAAGACGCAACAGGTCTCCGCATGTTTCCTTTTCCCCTTCCGTTCCCACTTGAACTTGACCGACTGTTCCTGTTTCTTTTCCCACAAGCAATACAGCGAGAGGGAGATAGCAAATGGATTTCGGATGTGCGTGGGCAAGGGAGAGAGAGAAAGAGAGTGTGAGTTGAGTGAGAGAGCGAGGAACAGGAGTTTTGACCAATTTGTCAGTCGCACATTTTCGCCACTTGTTGCCGTTCCGTTGCTTTCGCTCTCTCTTTGCCGCTTTCTTCGTTCTTTGCTCTCCTTTCGCCCTTCTGCACTTAACTTTGCCTGTTTTTTTATTTTATTATATTTTTGGCACTTCTCGCCGCTCTCGTTTGTCGGCACGCACTTCTTTCTTTCGCTCTCTTTGCGTCTCCTTCGCTTCTTTCATTTTCGACACATTTTCACACACTGAAAAAATCGCGCGCGATCGCCCTTTTCGATTTACACCAATTTGCGGCGAAAAGATCCGTTTTCAGGCGGGGCAGCGGGCGAACAAAAAAAAATAATAAAAAAATCAAGCGGGCGAATTTCGGCCCGGTTTTCCGCTGCGCGCAAAGTAAACAAGATAGAGGTGGAGAATCGTCGATGCCGACAGATGTCAATCGATGTTTTCAAATCATCGGTTTCATCGATGTTTGGCGAGGCACCATCGATGTTCTTCCATCTCTACTTTGGTTTCCCTCTGCCGCAGCGCTGCCCACTAATCATCGTTTCTTAACATAAATGTTAGGATGTTTTTCCATATCTGAATCTTAGCTCATGGCGGAGCATGTCTTCGCTACCTGCGGAGGGTGACGCCACTAAATATCGATATCACTCCTGCTCTTTCACACTGTCAACGGTCCCACTCCATTTTTTGTACAAACTCATTTATTATTGACGCCAGTGATCTTCTGTAAGAAATGTTTGCTAATCTAAGCGCCAAGCCGTAAATTAAAATCTAAGGAACTCATACAAAAATGTGTAAATAAATTAAACGCTTGAGGTGAAGTATTTAGCCGCTAATTTGAAATAACTACCAAATAAGGGAGGTGTCCTTGGTAAGTGTAGAGTAGGTATTCGACAAATGTGGATAGTGTACTCGCTAAACGTATATTATTTATTATTTATGTAAGTAATGAATTAAAATAACTTAATAAAATAAAAGGTACACAGGGAGACAAGTTAAAGGTTTTCAACCTAGTTGAGCTATCTGCGATAATAAATACCCAGGTAAGCTTAAAGGTATTAAATGTGGATCTATTGTTTGGGTAATTAGCTAGGAAAATACAGCGTGTAATGCTCAGAAGCAGAAATGTTATACCTTATTAAATTCGTAAACAATTTCCAATTTACAATAATTTTTGTAAAATAGTATAAAGTAAAATTGGGAAACTTGTTTGAAAAGTAAATTTTATGAAATTAACCGGGGACCGATTTTTTATCTGGACAAAAACAGTCAGTAATATGTCCAAGCTACAAGTTTTTGTTTGTTTGATAATGCTTCCGGCACTGAAGATACTTTGCATTAGCCAGTGCTCACTGTACTGTCTCTGTACATCAGCACCTTTTACACGGACAGTGTTTACCTTTTTGTGTGACGCTTTCGGCGCGCTTAAAACCATTTTTAATTGCTTGTCCCACTGTCACTTTTCTGGGGTCCCGCAGCCGCTGACATTGTAAAAGTTGTTTGGCTTGGCATTGTTTTCACTTCACCAGCGACCACAATTGATGGGTCGCTTTGGGTTTGGAGACGCCTGAATGGGAAAACTCCGCGCAGGCGATGATCGGCATTTGACGATGCAGGCGCATGTGCAACCGCGGAGTCGCTCTAAAATGGGTCAACAGCAACTTCACATCAGCAACAACACCGCAGCAGCAACATCGCAGCAGCAACAGCACATCAGCAACAACACCGCAGCAGCAGCAGCAGCAGCAGCAGCAGCAGCAGCAACAACACAGTACACCCACTCCACTCATCAGCGATCAAAGCTGCCAAAAGTTGCAGTACTGTTTTTTTTATCTTAAGAAATACATTCCCTTGGCAGTGTTTTTAATGATTTTAAATTATAAAATTTTTTTAAATAGTAGTAGTAAATAGTTTAAATAAACATGAAAATATGCGGATTTACCATGATTTTTCTCTGGGTGTATTAATTTACAATAAATACATTTTCATATGACTCTTAAAATTATAATAAGACACATTATTTTTTAGAAAATTTATAGCTTAATTGTTTACCCAAAAATTGTAAAGTTTTTTCAATCGTTAAAAGTAAGTACAACTTTGTATACACCATAATATTACAATGGGCAACATAATAATTTTGAAATTCGATAACAGTTTCTGTTTTGTAGAACTCTTGTTGATTTTTATTTTAAAAAAACGTTGTTTTATTTTAATAAAGTGTGGTTGTATAGACGTGTTAAAAGAATCATCCTATTTTTATTAGCATGCTTGCAAAAACAAAAATAAATAGAAATACTTCAGTACCTAAATAAAAGGTATCCAAATATTTATTATATGGGTAAGGTAAAAGATACCACAATTTGTACCTAGGAACGTACCTAGGTACTAGAATCTGGGTACACCCCAACACCGAAGTAGAGATATGAATTTTCTAGGGTATCAGCAGGTGTTTACTTTTCACCTGTAATTCAGTGCACAGCTTTTGCTTTTGACACATTTTCGCGGCTGTCTCGTTTGCCGCCGACGCTCGAAGTTGTCGCTGTTTTTACCCCCCTTTTTTGTTGTTGTTGTTGTTTAGTTTAGTTTTTTGTTGTCTGTAGTTTCGACGTCGCTGAAGTCTCGTCTCTCTTGGCTTTTGGCTTTGGCTTTGGTTTTGGGCCTGATCGATCAGTTAGTTGCTGACTTTGCGCGGCAGCGAGCGGTTTGCATTGCGATTGCTGTGCCGGTTGTTAAATACTCGAACGTACCACTCTTGTATTGAATCGCTTGTATTGTATTGCCACTGCGGTTGCGCATGCGCCTCATTCGAGTCGAATCGAGCGTTGAAAAATAAGCCTTTATTTCGATTTTGGCCAGCCATTGGGTTTTTCTTTTTTTTCGCTGTGAGTGTGTGTGTGTGGAAAAGTGAAACTGACCAGGCGTGTAATAAACGCAAAAACTAAAAACAGTTCTGAGTGCATAATAATTAATGGTGCTGCTGTGTCTCAAGTTGTTGCATGCCACACAGAAAAAACTGAGGTCCTAAATGAGGTTATCTTCAATATTCTGTTGTTATTTGTTTATGATAAAAGTCTTTTCAAAATGTACTTACCTTAAACGAAAAACAATAAAAAAAAATAGGGTTTGTTAAATATTTGCATTTATATTCTGATGTTTTTGATTAAATTACTTTATTTAAAAGTTTAAAATGTGTCTCATATTTTTGTTTATATTTAATTTTGATGCTTTGTAACTGCTGTTTCCAGTTTTTCAAAAATACAAATTATACAAAGGTATAGGAATATTGTTTTAGATATAAATTAACAAATTCTTTTATTATCGAAAGTTATTAGACTACAATTTATTTTTAAACGATTCTAAACATACAAATTTGCACACTTATTGGGCTTATTGTTATATTTACGAAAACTTAAAACGTAGAAGAGTGTTTTTTTAAAGAATACAACTATAAATTATAAATATTAGTTCTTAATAAAAAAATCAATAAACTTTTTTTTTGTGTGTCGTGCTGCATTTGTGGTTTGCCCATAAAACTAGCGCAAGTTCAAAAGTGCACAAGAGATTCGCGGATCTTCCGATCTGTGGCAAATGCCTTTTATGGCCGAACTTGATCGGGAAATTAAAGAGTTGTGCACTGGAAAACACATCTTACAATAAGATAACAAATTGGATAATGAAGAACACAAAAACGGGTTAAATCATGCATTACATGCATTTTATTTAAACTACATTTACCATTTTTCAACACATTTAAAAATAAAATAAAAACTTATCTTAATGTTGAGGGTCATCTGCAAACATTGTTATAATTTCGTAAGCGATATCTTGAAAATATGGTTGTTTTACGACAAAATTAAGGTTTATATTTTAAAAAGCATCTCAGCATAAATTTATAGTATTTTTTAGGTTTGACCATGATACGGATCATAAACTTTGCTATATCTACGCCTGACTTTTATATGCATTGTACAATGTGGTAGACAATATGACTGTTTTCTGGCCGTGCACACAATGAATTGGGAATGGGAATGGGAATGGCTATAATGGCTATACGAGAATGGCCATAATGACGGGCGGCGGACGGATTAGCAGGCAGTTGTGAAGTGCGACTTGGTCGTTGGATACTCTGCCGTCCCCTCCCAGTTGCATAATCTATAAGTCCCATAGCTTTATCCAACCAAGTGCCATCCATTTCTCATCCATGTATCTTTTTTTTATTTTTATTTTTCTGTGTGCCACAAGCGCCGATCAAAACTGGAGCAAATTAACCGAGATTAAAGCCCACAATTAGGTGCCCAATGTGAAAGTTAAAGCAGATCCGCGGATCCGAAACCTGTTGCTTCTTTTTTTCTATATTTAGCCGCTGGTGTTGTGGTTTTTGTTTTGTTCGCCGTACTGTGGCTCATCTGCAGCCATGGCCACTTTTACTGCACTCCCTCTGTGGCCAGAAAAAAAACAAATCAAAAAAAAAGACAATACTTTCTTCAAATACCCTTTTTCCAAAACATATTTTTAATAAATTGACCAAATAATTAGTATATTTATGCTGTTAAAGTTGAAATTTTCCTATAAACTCCATTATTTATTTGGTTTTTTTTTTTTTTAAATATAATATTTTATGATGATTTAAGACAGAAAATGTTTAATTGTTTTTTTTTTAATTCTCTGCAGTTTTATTTAGGAAACACAAAATTAGAAAATGCCAAACTCACTTATAATTTGTCCATATGTTAAATAGCATGTTGTATTATCCAATAATGCCTTTATTTTAATATTTTGGCGCCCAAATTTAATCTTCAGTAAATAGTTCTGTAAATTCTATTATCTTATGACGTAGATTAAGGGGTAATACTTAAATACTTAAAATTGCAATCAAACTAGAAATTTTATTTTAAAAAAAATTAAATTACGATTAAAAGGGCCATTTATTCTTTATTTTTCAATTTTGTACCTTTGGAATTTGATAATGTTAATTGTTTATGTGCTAAATTTTGGATTATTTGTGGTTACGTTGGTTTTCTATATACCCTCTTTTAGGGTGTGTGAAAAATGAAAGAAAACCCAACAGGGGGATTGGTTTTGGACTATAATACGCTTCACTGACCTATGCCAAGGCCCCTCGAGCAGCTGGTGCCGCATTTGTATTTCTCTTTTGCACTTTTGAACTCGGCCACAACTCTCGCCGGCATTTAAAGTTAGGACAAAAACAAAAAACCAAAAAAAAAAAAAATAACAAAATAACAAAATCGCGTATTCCACCGACCAAGTTCAAGTTGGCCAAGTTTCGTTTGTGATCATATATGGTACGTAGTTAGTGTCTTAGAGTCTTGGCCCATTTGACGAGGCTCTGGCGGAAGTCTCCGTCTAGAGGGACTTAAAAATGCAAGAGCAGCGCATTAAAGATGATCTCCAGAGCCCCGAAGACTTTGGGTTCACAGATCCATCACGAACGAAAACAAAAAAGCGGTAGAAGAGCAAATTAAACCGAAACCCAGCGCTTTCATTATGATGATCATCTTTATTTGTCATTATCGTTGTCAGCATCTCGGGTCCCATTTAGTCGCTATCAGCGATGAAAACTGTTAGAAACTCCGAAAGTATGTAATTTCATTTCATTTATTGTTTGACTTCGATTTGATTTCTTCTTATTTCCGCCGAAGAACTGGGTTCCCCATCCGGGAAAGAGCTCCCAATGAGTTGACACTTTTTGTACCCCAAATAAACTTTAGAATTAACTGTTCAAACAGTCTTGTTAAAATCAAAACCAAAAAATTAACGAAGCTTTTTGTACTGTTTCAGGGTTTTGCTTTACATAGACAAAATACCTAAATTATAGGAAATCATTAAGTAAGAAAGCTATTCATTTGGATCCAATGCCAAAGGCATCACAGAAGTAATAAAACCTATCCTAACTCGTTTAAATTTAGCATGAATCATAAACTATTTCAATGTGACTTAGAAACGACTTAAGCGAAACAGAATACGAGCTCAAAAAAAAAGTGTATAATTAACACTTCAGGAAATATTATATGAGTGCAAAAATAGTTCACTTCCTGAAGTCTTGAGGTAAATAATGTATTATTTTTTTAAAGATTTCAAATATTGTATTTTAGTTCATTTAAATATGCTTGCTTTGGTTTTGTAAGCTGTTTTTCATTTCTGTTCATAAATAATTTGCTAATTTGTTCTACAATTATTACGTGCCATTTAAACCAGTTAAAGTCTGACCCAAGCAAAGGTCTATGTCAGCTTTTAAATGTTGTCAGCAGTTTTAATGTCCAACCAGAAAATTTATGCAGACTAATAAGAACTCTTAGCCCAGCTGTTATAGCCAAAAAATTGGAGCTTTTTAATTAAAAAAGACAGAAATGCCTTAAAGATTTATTTTATTTTATTTTATTTTATTTTAAAATCATACAAAAGTGTATTTTTAATATTAAACATTTGAAGAAGTATATAAATATTTTACTTTACTTTTACTTTGAATAAAATAAGAAGCAAAAACACTAAAACATTTAAGTAATTCCGGAACTTGGAGTTTCACAATTGCTTTATTTGACTTTTTTGGACTCTGACTAAACCTCGATTTTTCCGCTGCAGATTCGTTTTGGCCGTGTTTTGGTCTTGGCTATTTGCATTTTCGTTTAGCATTGAACCAACCGGTGATCAGTCGTCAACTGCTCCACTTGACATACATATCTTGGTTATATTTCGTATCTGTACACCTCAAAAAAAACATGTACGAAATTTACATTTTATAATATTTGTTTTGCTAAAAGTTATTTATATGATTAATATAAATTATATTTAAAAATAAAACTCAAACGCCTTTTTGATGTTTTTAAAGTTGACTTTATATAAAATAAATATTTTTAACACTTCAAATATATTTAAAAATGTTATTTACCTGATAAAAAAAGTTCTTAAATTTGTCGAATAAATTATTGTTAAAATAGCAGATTAAAAGCACAAAATACTTTACTATTCAACAAAAGTTTGTTTTCTTCACAAAATCTGCAATTTATTGTTTATGAATTTCATTTTAAATTGTAAAGCCTTCTTTGGCAAAAAATATTGGTTTGTAATTCTTTTCGGTGCAATAAGCCCCGATTTCTTATGAGTCCCATGGGCGATGGGCGGGGGCGTGGCAGGGTGAATGATTGAAGTGAAGTGGGTGGAGTTGTAGTTTCACGCAAGGTCCATTGCCACACACGCCACTTTTTTGTTTGGGGACGGCTTCGTCATTTCATTTATTGGCTATATGCATAGTGGCCATTTAAATCGAACGAAATCGTCGGCCAAGTCGGAATCACTTTCACTTTGCTCACCTACAGGGCCACCGCTCTTCTCTTCCTCTTGACCAAAAACTTGCGTAAACTTTCGTGATTTCAAAAGCAAAATAAAATATGTTTATGCGATGACAGCGAAAAAAATAACAATAATAGTAATAACAATAAACGAATAGAGGTGGCGGCGGCGGAGGAGGGCAGGGAAAAAAGGTGTTATAAGGGGACATTTTGGCAGCTTTATTAGCAGGTTCGTGGTGCGTGTGTTCAAGCCATTCGCAAAGTCATGGCGATTTTATAAACAAGTAGGGGGCCTGCAGGTGGTTCAACGTCTTGAATTAAAGTGGCCAAGACGCCAGGCCACGCTAAGGTCAAGGGACAACTGGCCCCTGACCTTCCATGCCAAGCCATGATGTCAGTTGGTGTGCAGATTGCCACAGGTTTCCAATAGATAGCCGGCTAACAAACGATTGCAAAAAGCTTCCCTAAATATCTTAAATTCCCCTACTGGGTTATACTGGTTATGCTTACTTTACTATACTTTTCTTTAATACTTTATTATAGAAACAAGAGAACAGTTCTTTTAGATATTAGGTATATTAAGAATCTTAGTTTGGCACGCTATTCGATGACTTGTTTTACACTTTTATTAAATGATAAATGGCTAATAAAATACAACAAAGTTTGTACACTTTCGTTAGTTTTATAAAGTTTTCAAAAGTTTTTTTTTAATGCTTGACTTTTTAGTTAGTTTAATATTTATTATTATTAATGTATAAAAGATAGCAAAAGTTGCTTGTAAACTTTTTAATGTATTTCTTTTATCAGTTTACAAAATTTGACCCAATAAAAATGTTTTGTAGAGGCCAATTTATTTAGCTAATCCCTAATAGAAACCAGATGTTTGGCATTGAGTGATAAAAGAATATTAAGCCTTTAAATTATAAACTTATAAACTATGCCAAATTGAATAAATAATATTTAATTGAATACAATACACAATATATGTGCAAGTCAAGCTCACCGACAAAAACCGATTAGTTGCAATCTGTATTCCCATGCCCACCTGTCCACTAACGAGTAATTGGCAACATATTTGTCAATCCGCCCAGCCAAACAACCAACCTGGTTGCCACAATGATAGACCATTGTCTGGCCGTCAACGCTGCGTATACGTAATATGTTGCATGTATCCGCCCCGTTGGTTGCCAGCTAATGGCAGGGCGTGGCCGATTCTTGGCTAAGGCTCGGCCTGATGCAATAGATGACAAATAGGTACATGTATATTGGGAGGAGTTGCAGAGCGCGTGTCGTCAGTGGCCATCATTGTTATCTATTGTTGCTATCCTCTCTATTTTTTTTTCCCGGCTCTGGGAACGAGGTCACCTGAGTCGCGGTTTTTGGCACCTGGCGTGGTAATTTCACCCCCCCAACTCTGGGACGTTGGCCAGCTGACGGACGAGCCTCTTGGTCCCTTAAGCTTTACACCGAGAAATTAAATCTGCTTATGTAAAGCACATTAATGGGTATTTTCTAAGTGATAAAAAGTTGCCCTACTTTAAAAAAGAAGAACTATTTAAATATTTGAAGCATATTACACTTTGCAGTTATTCTTATCTTATAATTGTGTGTGTTTTGAAATGTAAAATATGTTTGAGTGTTTTGTGTTTTCAAATTTGATCAAAAAACTAATCAGCAAATTGATTTTGAAAATAAATACTAAAATAGTTTAAAATGGTTAAATCTAGACTTTTAATTTAAATTTGCTGAGTAAACTAAAATTGCTTGTTTAATTTAACAAGCCATAATTTACTCGAATTAAAATGAGATGTCTAGATTTAACTTCCTTAAACTACAATTCCTGCTGTTATTTCTATAGTAAGTGAAAGAAAGGCATAACAAATGTTCTAGTGTCTTCTCTGTATAGTGAATGGGCTTTTGAATTATTTAAAAGCGTTTGGCGACGCCTTCAACTTTTGACACGCAGACCGAGACAGCAAACCCTTGACCCGTATACCCAAACCTTCGGCAAACAGTAAGCCGCTGACTAGTCGACCAGCGCGAACTTCTCCAGCTGATTAATTAAAGAATAACAACAGTGGACTCCCTCTCTCTCTTTCGCACTGGAAAACAGTAGGTTGGACACGTTGCCGGTGCTTTTAGGAAGCGGCTCAGTCCAGTCGGCGATGCCTTAGTGGCAGCTCCTCCAGATCGAAGTAACCACTACGCCAAGATGCCCTACAACCTCGGGCTGCGACGGCGCCTCCAGCTGCTGGCCTCGCTGCTCTTCTGCGTCCTTCTGGGCTACTTGACCTCGGAGGCGGTGGCCAAGCCCACGTTATCCTTCAGCCTGCCCCAAGGACTGCAGGGATTCCCCTCGTTTCAGTCCTTCACCCAGCAAATCATCGAGCAGCGCAGTGTGCGCCAGATGAAGACCTACAGGTGAGTGTGGATCTATACAATCCGATAATACAAAATAATGCTGCATAGAAAATGTTATTCAATAGTACTATTTTGTATCCCAATTTCATCAATCATTCTCTAATAACAAGTGTAAGAAACTTTTGGGGTATTTTAAAAACCTTAGGTAATAATTGTGAGAAGCGCATAGAAAGGCTTACGAACTTAAGGTAGATCATCGAGCAGCGCAGAGTGCACCAGATGCAAAAGTCTACTTACCAAGAGGACTGCATTTAAAGTAATGTACAAATCTTATCAACAATATCTTTTGTGACAAATATAAGAAGTTATAATATTTCAAATATCTTAGCTAATAGTAATGATAAGCTGCCAGAAATAGATGTCAACTAACGAAGAAAACTGCATAGAAAGTATTATCCAAATCTTTTCAACAACGAAAAGTGTACAATATTTCAAATCCCTTAGCTAATAATTATGAGAAACGCATAGAAAGATAGATCATTGATCATTGCAGCGTGCGCCAGATAAAGATGTCGATGTGAGTGGTGAGCCACTCCATCCGGGCTGTGATCAGCAGTCAACCAACGTTCGACTAGAGGGTTTCACTCGCCCGCCGAGTCCATTGCCATGGACGTCACGTATCCGCACGGTCGGACGCCTGGCCATGTGCCCATAACCGTCGCACCGAGCTCTCACTCAAAACCCCCCCTAACACTCCACACAGAAATAAAAACGCAGCTTGATATCAGATCAAAATATACAAAAATCGAAAATTATATTTGAAACTATTTAATGTCATTTTCATTTTTCTCTGTACTCTCTTTTTTTCGGCAGCGGAAAGCGGGTGAGCAACGACTCGCTTATTATGATATACTATCACGATCTGACTATAGCCGTAACGGAGTTGGGGCCTCAGAAGCTACTGCTCGGCTGCGAGCTGATCGAAATATAGTAAGTGTAATCATAATATTTAATACTTCCGTTATAAAAAAAATGCACTTCAAATGAAAATAGTATTTAACTTTAAGGGTAAAAGGTTAATTTTAAATAACACAAGCCTATAACTTGAAATATATAAGGTTAGTTATGACAGATATACATTCTTATTATTTTTTTGATCTTCCTAACATTATGATATGAAGGCAAATTAATTTCTAATTGTCTTTTAATTTTTTGTACACTTCTCTATATGGAAGAAATCAAGGTTTTCGGGAAGTAGCTTTTTAATTTATTTACGTGGACAGCTGATCAGAAAATCTATTGAATATGCACTGAATACTTGATTAGGTAGACGATATATATACACGTATATAAATCTATTTTTTTTTTGTGTTACGTAGGTATTTGAAATTAAATACAATTTTAAAGGACTCGAACTTTTGTATCAACACATTGCTTATAAAAATAATATAAATACAAACTCCAATCTAGTCTTTTAAAAGGAATAGATTTTGGTAAATTTTTTTCATATTCAATTACCCATTCTGCACCAGAAAAGGCACTTAGGTAATGTGCATGAGAAGCGAATAGAAAGGCTTACTGATCATTTTCCTTTTTCCCATCCCTAGCAACGATAAGGAGGGCAAAATGCTGCTGGAGGGCCTATCACACTACAATCGCCCCCTGGAAATCAAGTTCGATGAGATGCTTAAGCTGATGGATCAGTGTGAGCATGTGGATAAGCTGAGCTACGCCTCCCGCTTCAAGTCCAAACTGGAAAGCGGTGAACGGAGCAGTGGCGGCGGATCAGGCGATTCATCCTCGACGGGGGGACCCAATGATGGAGTGGCCCTCAAGCTGGCCACCAATATCTTTCCGCGAAGTCCCTTCTCCCTTCTCAGTGGCATTATTCCAGGTGAGTTGCTCCATTTTATGGTGCTTTTACTATGTTAACTCACTTATTTGTATAGGAACAAAGTGGTGTGGCACTGGCGATATTGCAGAGACATACAGCGATCTTGGCAGCGAGATGGCCATGGATCGATGCTGTCGCCAACATGATCTCTGTCCTATCAAGATCCGGGCCTATCAGCACAAATACGACCTGATGAACGATTCACTGTACACAAAGTGAGTGGGAAAATGTTTAAATGATTATCAGAATACACAGAGTGGTTTGGTTTAAAGGATTCATGAGCAAACTATTATAATATTATTATTATGGAATTTTCTAAAAGATTTATTTTGACAATCGCTATAACATGACTCTTTTAACAGAACCATTATATTTATCTCATTAAAAAAATTAAAATTACATTTTTTCTTTAAAATAATATTTATGAAAAGTACTTTAATATGTATGTATATTTTTAGAACCATTGTATTTATTCCGTAGCTTCCAGTATAGCTATATAAAAAAAATCATAAAAATGTATTATTAATAACATTTTTCTTTAAAATAGTTTTCATAAAAAGTACTTTAATGGTTATTTTTTCTTACAATTAATTTAATTTTCCATTAGATCCGTTTTGCAATTCCTTTAACATTACATCCTTGCTATAGAAGTACTTTATTTATTCCGTAGCCGTATTCCGTATATAAATATAGAATAATCCGCTTGATTCCTCCACAGATCCCACTGCATCTGCGACGACATGCTATTCTCCTGCCTGAAGATGACCAACACCTCGGCCTCGCAGCTGATGGGCTCCATCTACTTCAATCTGGTGCAGGTGCCCTGTTTGGATGGACGCAAGAACCAGTACAAGTTCCGGGCGGCCAAGGAGGGATTCTAGGCGTGGCCAGAAATCGGAAATCGTAAATCGTAAATCGGGGGGAATCATTCGGGGCTCATTTCACAATGTACAGGAGGTGGGGACGAAGAAGTCGAAGAAAACGGTCTATTTATTATGTTTTACAAACGATGACGCCCGCTTTTTATTTATCGAATATTCTGTTGGGGTTTACAATTTAGCGTTAACGTTATCTAGGATAATTATAAAGTAGAATTGTAATCTTTGTTATACAAATACGAATATAAATATAAATATATATATATCATTTATTTGATTAGCCGTCTTTTTATACGTTAACAGGGTAAAAAAACAAAAAAAAATATATATGTATGTGTATATGGGACATGCAAAAAAAACACGCACACAGTTGTCTTATTTTGAAGTTCCGATTTCATATTTAACTACACACAATGCTTAACCCTAATCGTTGTTCCTCTCACAATATTGCACTAACAATCAACGTTTGCACAATCCAAAAAAAAAAAGTGAACAGATTTTTGATATACTCGTACATATACAATTTTGATTCGCTTTCACGGGGAATTTGTTTTGTTTTAGCAGGCAGCGACACTGACTAGTGGGTTGTCTTTGCTGTTCCGTTGGGATCCGTTTTGATCCGTTCTGATCCGTTCTGATCCGCCGTCTAGTTACGGATACGCGGAGTTACGGTCTGGATGTGTCTAGGTACTTGGAAGGGTGATCTTGATCTTGGAGAGCCTAGAAGATGCTGGCCACATTCGGGCCGGGCTGCGAGTTGGTCGGAGTGGGCTGTGTGGGCCTGTCGATGTCCTGGTAGCTGCGCTGCTGGCTGGTTGGGAAGACGGATCCCGTCTGCAATGTCCCGCCCCGTGTGTTGAACTCCCGATAGAGCAGGGCCACGCTCACGGGTCGCAGGACCAAGTTAATGATGCTAAACGCCACGGCCCAGCCGTCTAAAAAGGGGGTGAAACAGAAAAAAAAAAACAAAGAACAAGGTGGTATCAGTACATCACTCCCTTAAGGATCTCACATAATACATATCACACATCAGTCCATCGTTAAGGCAGATCTGGGTGACACACTTACTCATGATACTATAATGAAGCGCAATGCTGACTATATCAAAGAAAATGCTAGAAGCATTGATGACGAGTGCCTGCAAAGATACGAGATGATAGGACATGAATATGGAGGGAATGGTGCGGAAGCAATAAATGTATGGGGTTAAGCTCTTTTATAGCCGAGCATTAGTATATGTTAGCTTGGCATAAATCTAACAATAGTTCAATTATAGTCAGCTCTTTTTCTATAGTACACTTTTGGGCTTACAAAGAAAGGTACTAAAGAATTAAGAAAAATTCAAAAAATTCACTCTGAAAATACTTTATTATTTAATAAACAGCACAATTTACTAAATAAGCATTTAATTATTTTATCTGTAAAAGAAGCTAAATCATTTCAACTTCAATACCTTAATTAAATAAAGAATTAAGAAAAAATCAAAACATTCACTTAGAAGTTACTTTATTATTCAACGGACAGTACAATTTACTAAATAATACGATTGTTTGTGCCTAGTAAAAAATAGCGAAGTCTATTTTAAAGTTATAACGATTTTCTGAAAGTATCTCCATTTTCTTCCAAAATTTGTAATATACAAAAGTTCTTTAAAATATTATGAAACCAAATTGAAGCACCCAGTTATTTGTTTAAGTTACAATTTTGTACAAACGTTTAAAGCATATTTGCACTTATATTATTTACAAGATAAACGTGTCCGTTTTCTGATAATAATACGGTTGGAAAGCCCAAGTCGACAACATATGTTGAAATTCAAATACCCAAGCCGCAAGTCTTTCCAGCAAAATCCTTCACCCACTTTGTTCAGGAATTACTCAAGCACGATTCTTTGGGGAACTCCAAGTTGTTGCAAACAACAATTTACATATTCGAAATTAAATAAATTATGTTCATTGATTTTTCTTTTACAGTTTGGCCAGTGCGGGAGTAAACAAAAATGGAATGCCTCCTGGCTGGCCAGGATTTGACATCGAGTTGAGCTGAGTTGAGTTGAGTTGAGTTGATTAAAAGGCGTTGCTAATGGCTTTCGAGGAAGCAAACAAAACAAGCACCGATGGCTGGGAATCCTCGTTTGGCCGAAAGCCAGGCAAATGGAATTGTAGTGCCCGATTTATATAGCCTGTGACCCGAAAATGGCAATCGCGTGCCGGGAAAAAGAAAGGTGGTAACTTGGGCCAGTTTGGGTGCTGAAGTGTTGGCTTTTTTCGGTGGAGGTGGTCACTTTTTGGGCCGGCCTAAGGTCAAAGTTCAGCCATTTACCGTCTTTACTTACAGCTAACTCATCTATTAATACACACGCATATCCTCAACACCACACGCAATCCAACAAAACGAGGACTTTGTATGTGAAAATATTTATGTACATTTATTCTTGTACGCAGGGAAAAAAAACTAAGACATGTGATATCAAAATTGCATTGAACATGTTAACCTCTCGATCACAATTTAATTATTCTTTGCAATTCTTTTAGATAGTAAAAAAAAAAAAAACTAAAATGATAAATATTTTGCCATACTTATTAGATAGAAAAATATAAAATACTTATTTTGAAAATACTTTTAGCATTAAATTCATTAATTCATAAAATCATAAAAAAAATCAACAAATACACATTTTTAAAGAGAAATTTAAGCTTCGAAATTATTTTTTTTTTCGCTGTGTACATTGGAATAAGATCCACTTTTATTAGCATACCTCCACGCGTTCAAATTCGGATTTATTTCCGTTTTGTTTTTATTATTTTGGCCATGCCACTTGACGGGTTTAAGCCAGTCGGGGGTGGAGCAGAACATTTGAGATTAAAGATCGGGGCCGCAGAGAAGGGGAACCTGTTATGGCTCGGTTAGCCCATAAGCGAGCAAATTGATTGGCCTTAACTGTGCCGCAACTTTTGGCATTAACCAAAACAGAACTACAATTTTTTATTTCAAAAATAAAGTTTTTATACTAGTGAGAGACCTATTTTTTCGAAATCCCAGTGATAAATAATATTGTGAAAACATAAAGACTTTCGTGCTTGGATAACCCAAAAGCGTTATCTTATCGTTTCCCTGAGTTGTTTTTTTTTTGATCTATCTGTAATTGCCCAGTCTTTAATCTCAGTTTTCCAACTGAGCTTTTTTTATCCATAATATTAAAACATGAGTTTTAAATCAACTAGTTAAGTTAAAATAAATCATTATAGAAAACTCTCTGTTTTTTTAAACCCAATCACAGCGTTTGTGAAATTATTTACTAAGACCAGTGAGTGCATCATCGACGCAATCAATCACTGCATTTATTTTATAATCTCGATTTTCTCTGTGGCACCTGCTGATCGTCAAACTATTTTGGTGAGAACATTTGTTATTTATATTTAGCATGTGTATGCTAATTGCCCATTGGCGCTTTTTTCGAACAACCGGTTTAGACGATTTAGCAAATTTTGAAGTGATATCAGTGTGAGGCGTCTGGAATTTGATTAAAACCTCAAAGCAAAAATCAAGGGGAAGTGAGTTCTAGGCGAATATTTTGAATTAATTGGATGAATATATACACACACAATGCAAGCACACCCTTATCTGTACAACTGAGCGATCAACAATACTTTCATGAGTCACAAAAACGACTGAATGGTGAGCTATACCAGACATGAAAGTGTATAATCGGTCTTGGGATAAAGTAGTCGGATTTAAGCTAAACTTTATTCTAAGTTTAGTATCGGAAATTATTAAGAGATTGTAACATTTTTTTAAGAACTTCTGCACCAAGTAAATTTATTAGTTTTTATACAACTGAAAAATGAATGTCGTTGCATCGTGTGCATGCACACATTCTTGTTCAACTTTTGCATGGTAGCGCAAGCCAATAAAACGAATTAATTGAAGAGCCGACACTCAATTGTTGAAATCAAAACATGGATGAATTGATTTCATTTTAGTTGCGATTTTAAACTCACCGTTTGCACCGCTTCAATGGAGTCCTTGCTGTGCATCGTCCAAAACATAGCGATAAAGAATAGAAAGTTGTAGAACTCATACGCCCCGTGGCCCCAAGTGCCCAGCATGGCATTCGAGATGAAGAAGAAGTGCACAAAGGCCACCAGCTGTAAAATAATAGGGAAAATATGGAGTTAGGAAAGGGGGAAGTGCATCTGGTTATCTGGTTAGCACATAAGCATAATCATAAGCGGTTTAGTGCCAAGTGAAGCCCCACGAATCCGGCGGCGAGTTGTAAATTGCAGTCAGTATCGGTTGTCATTTGCGGTTAACTTGGGGCGCTAATCAGCGCCTCCCAGCGACTGGCCATTAACCCATGGAGGCCCAACAAGTGAGAGTGCGTACAGTTGCGGTGGCCACAATAGCAGCGATCATGCGAGAGGTATCTTAAAAAAAAAACCTGTTTTTTTCGTTTAATTCGATTCTATTCTATTCTGTTAATAAACTCATGAAGAATTGTTTATTTACTTAGAAAGTATATTTGAACATCCAATTATACAAATAAAAATAATTTTTTTGAATAATACCACTGCAATTGTTTCGACATTTTGTTATCTATTTTGTGGGCATATTTTTACATGCAGAACAAAAACCATTTGGCCCAGCATTTTTCATTTTATTACGGACGCAGCTGTTTTTTTATAATGCTTTTTATTCTAACCAAAACAATAGCATTTTTATGTTAAATATTTCCAACCGCAGCTGGTCAAACGGCCTTTATTGTGTCACAACCGCAGCCGAAAATTTTCTCTTTTTTGCTTTTACTGCGACCGCAGCTGTATAATTCTTTATCTATTTTGTTGGCATATTTTTGAACCCAGGACAAATAATAATTTTATATTCGCCCACTGCTATAATTTCGACCGCAGCTGTACATGCATGTGTGCGTACATTTCGCCTTGTGGGGGGCGGTCCTGAACTGCTTGCTGGATGCTGGATTGCAACTGCATCTCCCGCACCGAATA